ATGCACATCCATTTTGGGCTGGATGAAGCCAAGAAACGTGCGGGTTAACAATCCTTCTATTTCTGCTTCTGTTCCTTCATTGCGGACATGAGGCATTAAAATGTTGAATAAAAAATGACCATGTCAAAGTAACTATTGCATTATTTTGAATATCGTATTTATTTGCCTGAAACCAATCTCCTCCACACTAATTCTTTACACTACTTCCTCAAAGACGAGTTTAGACTAGTATTCTTCAAATAAATACTTACATTCGTCACCTCCTTTCATTTCGCACCAGGTTCTGAGAGCTTCTACGAGTATTACAGACCATTTTCTATCACTCACTATACATGTTCATTGCATTTGCACCATGTTTTCGATACGCGTAGAAATATGCCAATAAATCAACATTTTGGGCACCAAATATTCAATTTTTTGGCCGGACCGAATTTTGAACGTTTTCTACGCACCTTGACATCAATTTTTTCAACAATTTTCACGTGCAAACCGTCGTTGTTTGTACTTTCAAGGGCCGAATTCGGTTGGATTTTGGAACGCCGAATTGTAAGTGTGGATGCATGAATTTGGTATTTCCGAAATGAGAATTTTGAAAATCCTGGAATGTGTGTGTGTGTGCGCATCTAGTACATGGCCGCAGTGTGTAGGACCGAGGTGCAAATGAAAATGCGTTGTGGCAAGCCGCGCCGGGTTATATACCCAGGCTCCCGATCGATAACAGACTGGGACATCCAGGGTAGCCATGGAAACGGAAAAATCACTCGGTTCCGGGGCGGAACCCTTAGCCCAGGGAATTTACTCAAAACCTTAACTACAAACATTGCGATCTAACCCACCGCCCTATCGACCACCCAACAACGTGGTAATCCAGTACGGCGTTGCATACACGAACACACGCATCATCAGTTATCCCTCAGCATTCGAAGAAGAAGACGTACACTAGTTACGCGTATATCGAACATAAATAAAAAATTTATGTTTTGACGGCTATGTATGGAGAAATCTATGATGTATCAAATATATCTATAGATGCGTAGACTTATCGGGGTGGGACGTATAATTGCTAGCAACAAAAAATGAACTATACTCTCCTCCATCCCCTACAACTCCCAACATCCGACTTTTAACCCAGGCACAAAATGATCAGGATCCTCTGAAAAGTCAAAAAAAGAGAAGTTTTGGCGTTTTATTTTCGTTTTTGGTTTTTTGTCCGCCGACACTGGACCGATTTTCAAGAACTACAAAGCTTTTACGTCCTTGGTATAGTAGTAATACGTTCGAAATTTTCATCAACATCCGAGCGGTACTTCTCAAGCTATAGACGGGCCAAGGATTAGCGGACAGACAGACAGACGGGTGAAAATGAGTGACATGGTTTTTTCGAGATGTACATGTCATATAAATCCAACACACATATATCTCATTTTCGAAATTTATGTAGATTTTAGGAAAATGAAAGCTCCAGATGTGCGAATTGTAATTTTCACAGACGTCATCGGATGCCCACCATTTCATTGCAGAACCATATGAACAGGGGGGTCTATATTATTTATTTATTTATTACTTCGCGACCTATAACCTTCAGAGTATTAACGTAAACTTTGCTCTTCAAGGGAAAAACCCAACAGGCAATCCTACTTACTCTTGTGGACCTCGGTCACGGTATGTTGGAAAAGCGTCTTTTTGGTATGAGGATCACTTAATTAATTTGTAAACAGAAGCCTATAAGTTGGTTAGTAGGTCTAGAAAATAGATGCATCTGAATTGCGTCAAATATGCACATATGGACGGTGTTATAGCCAGGACAGTAATCTTCCAAATGAGTTTAATACCTTATGCCTTGGAAGCAATTTTTCTTTTTGCTAAGTACACCCCCAGTAAGCTACTTCTTTCTTGCCTACTTCTAAGCTTGCCTATTATTATTATTATTATTATTATTATTATTATTATTATTATTATTCTGATACAAATTTTTCAGGAAGATATCAACCAATGGAGTGATTGATTTAATTTCAGTTATAAGTATATCGAAAATTAACGCAAAATCTTATCACTATCTGTTCTAAAACTGAATGGAGAATTCCAGACTGAATGTATGGTATGATTATAACAAAATCCATATGAATGAAAATTCACAGAACGTAAACGATTAAACAATTACATGATTCATTAACAAAGAATCTTTACGATATTTAATCAGTCGTGACTAATACCACTAAGGTCAAGATGATCCTCCTGGCGGAATAATAACTTGTTAATATTGTATTGAATTATTTTCACCACAACCCGATTGTTGAACTACTTTTGATTGTTATTTCAAAAGTCTAACAAAAGAAAATTATACGGAAGCTTTCGACAGAGTAAATCATGATCTACTTTTGGCTAAATTAGAAAACCTTGGAGTATCAGGCAGTCAACTATCCTGGATTAGAAGCTCCTGTCAGGACGAACACAGTGAGTCAGATACGCCCATCAATGTCTTTTCAGGTGTAGCCCATGGCCCCCGCATTGATCCAGTTTTATTCAATTTATTTGTTAACGATGTTGCAGGATCTATATCTATAACAGTTATTTGATTTTTGCAGATGACCTTAAATTATTCAGAACAGCGAAAAATATCCACGATGCGGAAATCTTACAAAGAGATCTCATAAATCTTACTCGTGTAGTAGAAACTAGATCAACATCAATTTCAATAAAAGCTGCCAGATTAGCAAAACCGTAGTCCAAGTCAGAACTAATGCGTACGTTAAACATATAGACCCCTAGAAAAAACGCAAGGAAATTTTTGATTTATGTTTTCTGATTAAAATAGTTAATGGTGTCATAGACTGTCCAGGTGGCTTACATGAATAAATCTTAATAAAAGACGAACTCACAATACATAACTATTCACGATTCCACATTATTCCGCCAATGATGATACGAATGAACTAGTTACTAGAATTCTTATGCCCGTATCGTCAGTCGTCCCTACAATTGTAGGGGGCATTTATGGCCTCCTTGATTGTCATACTCCTTTCTCTCCTTCAAAAATTTCTAGATTACACTTGTCTCGTGTCAGGGTCAGCGCTCTTCTATTGTGAAGATATGTTTTCTTTTTAAATTGTAGGAAATTTCAGGCCTCCTTGATTGTCATAGTTTTCTACTTCAGCGTGCCAGCGCTCTATTTTGAGGTTATGTCACAAACATCAATTTGCATCAAATTGTGCTTGGTTTTGAGTTATATCATGTTTTATCAGCCTGAAATTTCCTACAATTTAAAAGGAAAACAAATCTTCACAATAGGAGCGCGCTGACGCTGACACGGGACAAGTGTAATCTAGAAATTTTTGAAGGAGAGAAAGGAGTATGACAATCAAAGAGGCCATAAACGCGCCCTACAATTGTAGGTCGAATGACGATACGGGCCTTAGATCTGGGAACGCCTCTATAAGTTACAATGTAGTAGAAGTTTTCAGTGGCAATACTAAGCACATGCAAAACGTTTCCATTTAACTTTAGTTTGCTAGGTTTTAAATATAAGTAAGTTGGATATCACATGATTCTTTAGTTCGTTTTTAGTTTAATAATTTATATAAAGCTAATGTAATGATTTTTTGTATGTAATGGGAAACCGTAAGTAAATAAAAACAAATTTTAAATTTTTATGTTGCATGTTTTTTTGTTAAGAGAGACGGACTCTAATTTTACTCAAGATATCTCTACTCTTTAATGGTGATAAACGAAATAGGCCATTCGCCCTTAGATGAACAGTGTAGTTTGTCGCTATTCCTGGGCCTGGAGGACGTTCTGAAATGAACAAAAATAAACTATATAACTACTAAATTAGCTACTAAAAGCACAATGATTGATTACATTTCCAGAAACAGACAAATCAGAACATATCAATCGTTTACTTCATTAACTTAAACTAAACTAACAGCAACTTCTAGACAAAAACCAGCTCTGTCCCCTGACTAATGGGTATCCAATTTACAGCAATTAAAACAATTTCCACAAGAACCGCAACTTGATCAATATAGACATATAGATACGTAACATGTATTTGCATTTGAGAAAGCACACTCACAAATACCTAGAAAAAAGATTCCGCCCACGATTTGTCTCGGCGACCAGTTTCTGCTTTTCAGAACCGGTGATATGAGTAACCGGAAGGTGATCCTGCCTACTACTATTTGAACAGAGAGTAGGCTCTTTATTTCACCTGATTCATTCATAAATCACAAGATAACTGTACCGAGACCTCTGGTATACAGCAAGCGCTATACTTTTATGCGACGAATTTGTACTTCAGGTAACAAAAATAATGTTGAACCCACAACCAATCCTTGAGAAACGTCTGAGTTGACAATGTGAGTTGAATTACGACGGATATCTTACGCCCAAAAAAGAAGTCAACTACCAATGTAAAGAAACTCTCTGGATGGTAGTTTTTCCTAGAGAAACTGCCTGATAGAGACTTTGCAATATATATTTAATTGAACGAAATTAGGCCAGAACTGTGCGACATATGTTAGGACTAAGTGGGGATCTCTATTGTTGGTAATGACGATCTCAAAAATGAAAATATGAGAACTACTAAGTCTTCACATGTAAGAATCAGCCTTGGATGCTGCTTTTAGAACAAGATACATGTTGAACAGTATCTTTTTGCCTTTCCTCTCCGTGACCATAACCAACCGTATACAACATTGTTTTTCGCTTTTTAGCAATCATCAGCACGGTATAGATCCAGTCATTGAGAAAAGACAACGGAAAGCAAATGTTGAAAGGACGGAAAAAGCTATGGAGATGATCTCTTCAAAATGATGGCAGGAATCATATCGCGACCAAAGGCTTTGTTAGTTAGCCATTCTATTGTAGTTCTCGCTTGATGTTTTTAGGTCATAAGAATGTCTACAGATTCTAGTGCACCCTATATGTTTAAGACTTTACCTTATAGAGGTTTTAGGTGACTCTTCTCCGATACCATTCATGATTTCAATTTGGAATACCTCTGATAATATATATCATTAAACTGGGATTTAAAACATAATTGGCGAGAGCTAAGCTCAAGTTCTCTAGTTATCGCTATTCGATTTATATTGCATTTCATGGATATGTGCCTTGAGTATTTTGATTAGGGCTTGCAAAATTTATGATGAACGCAAGGAATGCCATTCCCTGCTATATTTTTCACTTAATTGGGGCCATCCTGATTGCAAAGTATGCGCAATTAAGGTTCTTATAGATAAGAGATGTCCGCTACTTACTATGTATGTATCTAGTTTAAAACTAGTAGGTAAATCAAAAAGTGTAGGGTATGATTCAGAACTGTTAAATCTCACTTCTAATGTATGTATTTTTCAAACCTTAGGTCATTTGTTTAAGGTCTTGATATAACCTAGCCTCAAGTACTGCTCACATGTTTTTGCATCTGCCTCCCGTACGGATATTACGTAAAAAACCGGTGGCCGCAGTAGTAGACTCTTCAGTCTCCTGATCAGTCGCGGTGCGCTGTGCGGGTTCGAGTCCCGTCTCAGGAGAAATTTTTCTCTTGGCTATGGATGTTGTGATTGTCCGTAGGTGGTAGATGGTCTCTGACTGTCGAACGCGGAGGTACCACCCGGCGGTTATTAATATGTTGTCCCTTCTGAAGACAGGTTATGTTCAAAGTTATAAATTACGAAAAACTTTGAGGAGGATTACGGGAAATCACCACCCCGCCCGCGTTGTGTGCAATTACTGTTAGCTTGTATATGACTTGTAATTCGACAATGTACAGTGAATATAATTATTTACCTCCCTCATTTTTTAAATTCAGCAAATTTGCATATGTAATTTCCAGACTGGATAAGAAAAAGTGGACGTGCAATTAATTTCCAGGTTTGAATCTCAAGTAAATGTATTTGAGACAAGAATAAAATGGAATTATCATCAACACATACAACCTACAGTTTGAATCTCCAGGAATGCAGTCGCTGAAGCAGACTTTACATCACATCAGAGCCAAACTGAAGCCTCATGACGTTTAGGCAACACGTACAACTACAAAACGAGTTCACAACGTGTCCAACAGCTAGTGCTGAGTTAACATCTTGTAGAAAAACCTGCATAATGTCAAAAATAATGTCATTTTTTAAGATACGTAATATCCGTGCCGGACTACATTGACCATACTCGGTGCTGTTCAGAGGAGGGTCTCTAACGGACAGTCTGAGGACCCTTTCGCACCAATGAGCGGTTAGCAATCTTGCTCTATTCTGCCTCTAAGTCAACAGGCTTTGCTTCTCAGCGCTCTCCTCCATGATACCGTCGCACATTGAGACTCTCAGACGGACCCGCCAGGCTTCCGCCTTCCATCCGAACTTTGTCGAACAGTTTGCCTCATGAGGTTTTCCCAATTCTGCTAATATTAGGCAGTTCAAAAATCGTAATAACATGGCATCTTTCAAGTTCCTTGTAGCAGTCGGGGTGCCCCGGTATTTAAGTTTCTGCCTACGCGACTGCTTCCGTATAAAAAAATGACCCAGTTCATCGCCTATGCACTGGTGCCTCTTGATCTTCGGAACACCTGTAATGTTCTCATAAATTCATCGATCAGCAAAATCGAATGAAACCATTTTTGGCAAAGCGTTGCCTCGTTTCATCGTTCATAACTCTACAGCTTAAATAATTGTAATTATCTTCTAATACATTGTTGATTATGTGAACCTGACCACTAAAAACAAACAGTCCATTATGCCTACACCTTTAAACAGCTAATTACGGTTCCAAGCAGATGCTTACAAATATCTTCTAATCATCGGGCATTGTTCGTGAAGCGCGCCGAACAATATACACTATCTACAATCTACACAGGAGGTAAAAAGAATACGAAAAGAGTAAGAGCAATGTCCTCTCTGGAGATGACTCGGGAAAATGGGACGGTGATTTGGATCTTTCCTAGCTTCCGGCATAGATACCTAGAATATGTGATTAGAGCTGAGATACATCTAACAAAACATGTTACGGGTTAATTTGTCTTGCAGAGCTTACAAAGCATGTTCTAAAGGATGTCCCTATCCAATAGGTACTTCGGGAATCTAGTTCGGCGTCATTTATACAACAATTTGGCCTAGACGTTGCGCGTAATGTCTTTTTTGTTGTGTTTTTTTGTACGCTACGGATTCATTTTGTACTTGCTAACAAATCTTTTAAATACAAAAGTTCCTTCGCAGAAAGCGCTACAAGCAAAAATATAAACAGTATTTGAAACACGTGTCTATGTTATTTTTACAGCTACTTTAAAGGACAACGCAGTATGTTCTATTGACTTACTTGTAATCAATAAATTCCAGATATAGGTACTATAATAATTTTGTAATATACATTTTTCTATGTGTAATTCGTATATTTTATTGTCAAAGTTGACTTCAGAGAATCATCATACACAGAGTAATACAAATTAAAAGTTAGGTGAAATGGGTGGTACATTAAAGGATTATAAAAATCAAGTATGCGTAGATATATAAACATCATTTACAAAAGAATCGCCGAACGCTAAAGTGGTTCATACTCCCAGTATCCAAATATTGCTAAAACATAAAAATATTTCTCCTGTAGCGGTGTGGCAGTGACGACACCACCAAGATGCAGCATCGCGCGGTGCACGCAACATGGTCATCATTTAATTTTCCGGTTGTTACCGGTATCAGAAGCTTCTTAGCGATAGAACGTCTTTAAATAATACTAAATACATTACATTTACAACCCCCTACCCTTACAACCCCCAACTTTCAACCCGTACAAAAGTTTTCCGAAAATGATAAGGAGCCTCTGAAACGTCATAAAAAGTTTGAGGGATTTTGGTTTTTTTCGTGTATTTTTGCCCCTAGCTACGCCGCCACTGGACCGATTTTCAATATCTACAAAGATTTTTCGTCTTTGGCATAGAAATAACATTTTGTGAGAATTTCATCCAAATTCGTAGTACTTACTTTCCAAGTGATACACGGGCCAAGGATTAGCGAGCAGACAGACAGAACATTTTTTTCATGGTTTTTAGTGATGTAACTAACATACATGTCGTATAACATCCAAAAGGCATATCTCATTTTCTAAATCTTTTCGCGAATACAATACTTCCTCGAAGTGGCGCAAGAAGTAAAAGGGCAAAACCAGTGATATAACCATATGTATTGTGCCCCCTCTCCCTCCCCCATAGACGTCTGACACTTGATTTTGTAATCTAACACCATTGTGTTATCTTTTGACACATCATGGCCACAGAGGCATACTAACTATAAGTTATAGATAGGAACTAAGCATTGCGATTTTCTGGCATCGTTGGGTATTCGCTGTCGCTCTTTGACATCACTTACGTTTACAACACGATTTGGACGTACTATTCGTCATTGTCTGTCAGAGCGGTCCGTAGGACCTTTGCTCTTGGTTGAAGTCTTGTAAGTCAGTAGGTCTGTTAGGTCTGGTTGCCCAGATACCAAACAAAGTCAGGGAGAAGAAGGGAAGAAGAAAGCAAGGAAGGAAGGAGGGAGAGCAAGTAAAAAAGAAGTGCATCAATTTGAGGGGTGCCTTGGCATTGCTAGTTAGTATTCGGCAATTTTAAATTGATCCTAAAATTAATTTTAGTATTGGTTGTTGAAGAAAAATTATAATTTTGGTTGGACCTAAAGTCGCACGATTTAATTTTGTTCACAGTGCGAGTCGCGTCCTTGTGTGCTTGCGAACTTGCTCGACTGTGTAGTCTACTGACTCGCGCAACAAAGGGTTGTTATGCGATTCTGCTTGACTGTAACATAGCTGCGCTTGTTGTTTGATGTAGTCCTTTAGGTAAGGGATGTCAAGGTCTCTGTGAAGAGTCTCGTTGGAAACATACCATAGGGCGTTGTACGCAAGGTTCTGTTCTGCAAAACCTGCAGGCTTCGCAAATGCGTTTTGGCGAGTAAACACCAAGCCGCACTTGCGTAAGTGATCGCTGGTCTAATAACCATCTTGTATAGCCGAACTTTGTTGTTCAAACTTAATTTTAATGTTCTATATAGCATAGGGTAGAGTTGCCGAAACGAGATTTGGAATTTAGTTTTTAACGCTTCAGTGTGCTTCTGCCAGGTTATCCTCTTGTCAAGAGTGACACCGAGATACTTAGCAGAGCTTTCCCATGGTACCCGAGCTCCATTCACTGAAACCTCAGACGGGGCGCCGCTACGTTTTTACTACAATAGATTGCCTGCGTTGTCGAATGATTAATTTTGATCAGCCACCGATTCTCCCATTCCAATACCCAGAGCACGACTGGGCCACCAGGGCAGTGTCATCAGCATAGAGATAGGTTTCACAGCTGCTGGGGCAAGGGACGTCATGAATAAAGAGTGAATAAAGGACTGGTCCAAGAACCGAACCCTGAGGGACACCGGCTTTGATGGGCCGTGTTGTCGACAGAACGTTATTAATTTTGATCCGAAATTTCCTACCCTCGAGAAAGGATTTCAAAAGTTTTAGGCGCCAGAAGGGGAAGCCCTTATGGATCAATTTGTAGAGAAGGCGCTTGTGCCACACCTTGTCAAATGACTTTGAGACATCCTGTAGCAAGATGCCAGTACTTTCGTTACGGGTGAACCCCCTAGTTACTCGTTCAACAAGCCTTATGGCCTGTAGCTCCGTACTATGCTCAGACCGAAAGACGATTTGGACGTATATACGAGTATTGTGACTTATGACAAATCTAAGTCTGAGTAATATATTAGATATACAGATTGCACTTAAAAAGTGATTTATGAACGCCTAAATGGAAAATAGACATTTATGAGATTTGTTTAGCGGTGCGCCTGTGACCAGTCCAGAAAATGCGTCGATCGATGCTCAAAGTCAATACCACACGTCCCGCATCTCTTCCCGCGTATGTGTTTATTTATGTTGCCATATTGAATTCGTTTAAAGAGCTTCCGCACTACACGTGAATATGTACAGCCCTGTATTCCTGCACTAGTTTCGTACAAACACACATTATCAAAATAAATACATCTAACAGATATATTTTTTTCTAAAGATTACCAACATTTTTACATGCGATCAACACCTATTCGAAAACTGAGAAATCAACAACTATGCCGTAAATCTAAGTTCGACAACGAAAGTCTGAAGAGCAACTGTAACATCTAAGTATATTGAATTTCAAAAAATATTTGACTATAACTATTGATATTTGTATCACCTGCTGATATAATAGAAGTGCTTAATTGTGTCAGTATTTGCACTTGATTTGTTTAATAGGCAGTTCAGAGTCTTAATCCTTAAGCTTAGTACACACTAGTAGACGCCGTTGAGCAATTTGTCTATAGGCAGTCTGAAGACGGTCTCAAGACACGATCTATAGATGGTATATAGACATCCTTCTTTGTCTCGTCTGGCGTCCATACGATAATGTGATTTTTTCGATGTCATACTCGTTTTCGCCATCAAAGACATTGTTTCGTATGATATAGACTGGGATATGTCTCTGGGTCGCTCAGAATGCTTTTTTTCGGTTAACAGAGCAAAGAAGTTTTTTATGTTCCTTGATACTATTACACTAGTTAATTATAAATGCCACGTACTTATTTTGTTCTCATATAATAATGTTTTTTTCTTCAAGCTGGCATTGACCAGATAGAACACAATGGATTTAAGGTTGAGGTTGAAAAATTACCCCCCCCAGACGAAATCCTAAATCCGCCTTTGGTCCTAATTACTTTAAAAACAAGGTTGGGATAACCGAGATTCGGAGCCAAAATACAATTAAGTATCTGAGTGTTTGGCTCGGCAAAGATCTGAAAATAATTAACACATAAGGCTCACCGCTGAAAAGGTAAATAAAGTCGTCGCAAAAAGAAATATAGACTGCTAATGACCAGAAGCCAACGAACAGTATTGCTGCGCTTACAGAAAGGTGTTGACCGATGCACTGCTGGTGGAGACAGGTATCCCTTCAATTGATTTGCTGGCTGTCCACAAGATTCGGATCACCTTTGGTGAGTATCAGATTTGAGAAAGCCGGTGCAAAACGGGCGTAACCGTGGCATATATAACATTGTAACAAAAATATATGGAATTGAGGAATAAACTATTTAGTTTACCTGATTTGGATGAACATGCCAACTCCTCCTTTTTCCTTGTCTTTGAAGATAACTAATATCACCGGGTTCTGAGAACTGAGGAGAGGAACATGCCATTCTCGATTGCCCTGTGTCCTCAAATACCCCAGGAATTAATCTGAGCCTGTTTGCTGGACATATTCCCTGCAACAACAGAGTAGAAGATAAAATAAAGCACTAACTATTCAGGATGTCCTCAAAGTTGGGACTTCCCTTTACATAGCGTATAGGTTGAGCAATACTAAGCAAGTTTTTCTACACATGTACCAAAAGCCTCCAGATAACCGAGATACTGACTTCCGAAAAAATACATTCCGACCTGCCTCGTCGAAGAGTAACCGCATTTGGAAACAGAAATTGGCACACTCTTACAGCAATAAGGTAGCTATCGAGTTGATATTAGTTTACTATGAGTATTTAGATCGTCACCGTCTTCCTCGATATTTCCATCAGAGCTGCGTAGTTTTGTTTATATCATGCATAAGCCGTCTGTGGATGCACCACATGTTACAAATTCATGAAGAAGTAAAGAAATTAGTGCTTTTGAATCGAACAGGAAGCAGTAATTACAAACAAAACATGTGACATGGCAATACTTGAAATGCAATACCAAATAAATAACGGGTGATATAATTTAATGTTTAAAGATTATTTCATGTAAATGTTAGCCGCGGCTCCGCTTTAGATAGCCCATGCGCAAGGTCCAATTTTGGCAAACTCTCTCCAACATATCGGCCGGTATCTCACGAATAAATACTTCAATATTGGCTTCCAGTACGTCAATCGTCGCTGGTTTATCCCTGTAGACATTAGCCTTAACATGGCCCCACAAGTAAATAGTCCAACGGCGTTAAATCACACGATCTAGGCGGCCAATTGACGGGCCCCAAACGTGAGATAAACTGTTCACCGAACTCGCCTCTCAATAGGGCCATTGTTTCGTTTGCGGTGTGGCATGTGGCACCATCTTGTTGAAACCACATGTCAGCCAAGTCCAGCTCTTCCATTTTGGGCAAAAAAAAAGTTTGTTATCATCGCACGGTAGCGCTCGCCATTCACAGTTACGTTCCGGCCATTGTCGACTTTGAAGAAGTACGGCCCGATGATGCCACCGGCCCATAATCCACACCAAACAGTGATTTTTTCGGGATGCATTGGTAGCTCTTGCAATGCTTCTGGCTGGTATTCACTCCATATGCGGCAATTTTGCTTGTTAACGTACCCATTCAACCAGAAATGAGCTTCGTCGCTGAACACAATTTTTCGATAAAAATGTGGATCTTCCTCCAGCTTTGCCAGCGTCCATTCACCAAATGGGAAACGTTGTGGGAGGTCGTGTGGCTTCAATTCTTGCACCTGCTGTATCTTATAAGGTTTTACACCCAAATCCTGTCGCAAAATTTTCCACGTAGTGGAGTAACAGAGGCCCAATTGCTGCGAATGACGGCGAATCGACATTTCACGGTCATCACTAACACTGGCGGATACAGCCGCAATATTTTCTTCAGTCCTCACTCTACGTCTGCGTGTTGGTGGTTTAATGTCCAATAATGTAAACTGGGTTCGAAATTTAGTCACAAGCTTCCGAAAGGCTCCCTCAGTAGGCCGACCAAATTGCCCATAAATTGGAAGCAGTGCTCGATGCACTCTCTTAACCGAGCATGAATTTTGATAGTAAAATTCAATAATTTGCAAGCGTTGTCCGTTCGTAAGTCGATTCATGGTTAAATTATAGACCAAACTGAACAAGTTTGACAATGACACAAGACACGATTCACGCGTCATCTGTCAAAAACAGTGTTGCCAAAAAGATACTAGCAACAAAATCACCCATTAGTTAGTATTTACCTTTAATTTCTGGTTTACGCTTACGGTGCTGTTTTACCGCAAATTGCCTTCATTTTTTCAAACTTCCATGACACCCTGTATAAATGATGATTGTAGGAAATACAAGAACTTCCTTTTAAGTTATTAACGACAATATAACATTAAACCGAAATTTCAAGATATCTCCGAAAAAAGTACTACTGACTGAGCTTTAAAAAATGCTTCCTTCATAGTGAAAGGGTATGAACCCATGGTATTTGGTCAAGACTAGAACCACCTATAGCTATAACCTAACCTAAAAAACATGTCATTATTTTTGTCAAAACTATGACACGGTTGAATAGTAGTCCCTCCCTCTCGAATTTTAAAAGATGGAACCAGAAAATTCAGAAAGTGATCATTACGCGAGATATCCTAATTTGAAACTAGCTCAGTTGAAATTCAAAGTATCTCTTCCAGATTATACAGAGGATGTAGAGCTAAAGAAAAAGCTATTGGATATGATTGTATCAGAGGAAATGGGTCCCTACTATGAAATTGCAGCAGAAGAGCTAGGCTGGAATATTCAAGGTAAGCGGCCTAGAGTATACGTACATAAAAACATTTATTGACGTATATCATTATCACGTTTTTCGTTTAATATGTTATGCAACAGCCACAAAAAATTTTTTGGAGGGTACATCCTAGTCTTTCATTTTAAAATAAGGAATGAAGTATTTGCGATATGCGCTAAAGTATAGTCTTATCCTGGGTTTTATCAAATTTTTATAACAAGACGAATTATTTCCGAAACCTGATGAAACATACATTGTTGTGTATAAGCGATTGAGGTACGGATGACTACGAAATTCGACGATTATCATTTTTTAATAATGTTCGTGTGCTGATAAAAGCAGTCAGCGATTCAAACTTCTTTCGTAGACATCATTAAATGAAAAGTTTTAAATGTAAAATGTAAGATAAATACACTGATAGCCCTCTTTATTTTGTCGCTGGGCGCCATCTTGGAAAAAAATTATATGAAAACGGGGGTCTTGTGGCATATCATTTTGAAGCTCCTGACGAGTACTTTATAACCCTAGAATATAAAGACAATACCTTTACCTACTACAAAATGGTGGTACCTTTAATAATTACCTGAACACATTGACATTTAACTTGACAATTCGAATAAATACGTTGTGTTCAGTTTAGAAGATGCTGGAAATGGTTGCCTTGAACTTCTTGACACAACAACAGCCGGTCCGTAATTTCGCGTCCAACATTTTCAAACATAGTAACATCGATAATTCTACAAATATTTGTTATTCTCAGCCATATATCCAATATTGAAACAGGTTCAGTTTCGCACACCTTTTGCTCCAAATAGACCCATGAAAACAAGTCTGAAGGTGTCAAATCTGGCGAGCGAGCTGGCCATTCCACAGGACCTCGACGGCCATCCAACGACCGGGGAAATTGTTATCTAAATAATTTCTAACTTGTCTGTAGTTATATAGTGGAGCACCATGTTGCTGGAATACAATATCAGTATTGAATTCATTAGGATTCGCTTCGACGATTTCGGAGATTAGAGGGTCAATAGTATTTTCCAGCATGTCCAACTACAGTTCCCCGGTTAAAGCTTGTTCGATGAATAGAGGCCCTACAATATGATTTCCCAATATCCCAGCCCAAACGTTAATTTTTTGTGGATCTTGAGTATGAGTTTCCCGGAAGACGTGAGGATTGGTGTCACTCCAGTTACGACAATTTTGTCTATGCAAATTACCGTTGAGAAAAAATGTACATTCACCACTAAAACAAATATTTTGGCTATAGCTAGGATGCCGTGCAATGGTTTCCGTCATAGTCTCGCAGAATTCTGTTCTTCAATCAGGGATCTTCAGTTAGCTGATGTACCATTTGAATTTTGCATGGGTGATACTTATTCTTTTTCAAAAGTCTCCATACAGTAGAAGGACAAACCTCACATACATTCGCGATGGAGGAAGTAGACTGTTGGCGATTTACTATGATCTCACCAATTACTTGAACTTGCTTTTCTTCCGGGATGGTCGGTTGACCTGGGGGCTTTTTATTGTTTACACTACCAGTAGCTGTAAATTTAGATACAAGTTCCCTTAAATATTTTCTACAGATAGGACGATTCGGGAAACGATCATTGAAAATCCTTTCGGTCTCGTGAAAGTTACGCGTCGCACCATAAATAAAAATCGCTTCGATTTTTTCTTCCAATGGACGAGAATTGGCCATTTTAAAAATAGTGCAAACAGTATCAACACTAAAACCGCAAAACAAAATAAGAATACTTTAACTGTACAATGATGTTTATTTTCATACTGATATTCTTGTCACTGACAACAAAAAATAACAAAACAAGTTTTTATCGCTGTTGCTGTGGATACGGCAGGGAATTACAATTATTTGTAGAGATATGCATGTTAGTGGGTTTGTGTTCAAGTAATTATTAAATGCCCCACCATTTTGTAGTAGGTAAAGGTATTGACTTTATATTCTAGGGTTATAAAGTACTCGTCAGGAGCTTCAAAATGATGTGCCACAAGACCCCCGTTGTCATATAATTTTTTTTCAAGATGGCGCCCAGCGGCCATCTTGACATTTTCATCTGTCGATTTTACTCTAAAATATGGTATCCACGCATCAATTTCATTACCTCAAGTTTTAATTTTTCGAATTGATCCGTTCAAAAAATCAAAGGGAAGGGGGACATTAAAGACATTAAAGCACTATAATTCCCTCGGCTCATCTTCCAGATCACATCATGAAAAAGTTAAAAGATCAAAATGCAGTGAAGCTAGCAGAGCTGGACAAAGCAATCGATGATGCATTGGAAAACTTAAGCACAATCGACGTGAAACAGGCGTATCTACACAAGGCAAATTACCTCTGCAAAATCGGCGACAAGGAAAACACAATTAAATCGCTTAGTCAAGCTTACGATAACACTGTTGCCTTAGGTGAGACTCTTATCGGTGTTAAACTAACAGCTTTGCGTTAAGTGGAAGCGCCTATGAATATTCAGGATGGTCGACAACAACAAAATTGCATCACAGAATTGGTACCCAGAATCTGCAATCAGGCAAATTCTCCAGTACAATTTTCAGCCTTCGACATAGGTCGACGTCTAGTCCGTACAGGTTCGAACTTATCGGTTCTTTCCACAATTTCCGATAGAGCGGAACGGTCACATATAGCAGACCAGATCCGAGCAGCTCATTCAGGGCAACATCATATGTATATTTAATTTGTATCCATGACTGTATATAATATCTGATAGTCCTAAATTGCTTGTTGGAA